ATGTGTGTAGAGATATGAACTCTTCATTTCTCTTTCTGTGGTTTGGATATCGATGAACTCGTGAATGAAAAATCTAGTGTTGGAATTATCGTCTAAATTAGAGTTCACTTCGTTGTTCTGCTCATTGGATACATGTAATGAATCAAAAGTGATTAAGAAACTGTTTCAGTCTGATTTTCATTTCGTAATTTTGCTTTTTGGATAGGCTATATTACTCTCAGATTGGGGTTAACCGAATGAAATTTGGTTCGATTGCAGGATCTGATGGTACTCCGGGGTACTGACCGTCTAATTGCATTTGCTATCATATACCATTGTTATTCTTCCCAGAAACCATCTGTCAACCCTTTCGTATCTGACATGATAAATGTAAGCAGCTTTCATTGTTGTGCGTCTAATATGGGTTGCTCCATCAAACAGATTGAAAATTTCTAAGCTATATACATCTAGAAATGCATATTACTTGGCCTGCTTAGTTGTGTTGAGTAGCTCAATTCTTGTTGATTGTCTCCTAATGTAATAAGTGTGTTGTTAATCCTGTAGAAGTTTAGTTGCTGGTATAATTTAATTTTAGAAGCAGATTTGTAGTGTTAAGCTTGGTGTAGTTAGTGTTGGTCATTTATCTATCGAAGTGACATTGTAGTTGTGAATGATGAGATTCCATGTACTCATTGAAGCTAAATTTTATATAGTGACCTGTTCGGCCTTCTCTACATTGATTTAGGCAAACATGTTTTGTGTCTTAGCATGATGTGGTATTCTTGTGTGAAAGAATAACAATATCTATGCCTTTTGCAGGCTGCTTGTAATGAGCAACTGGAGATGAGTGAGAGAGCATTTCTTCTCCACCTTTTACAATGGAATAGCTACAATAACGCTAACGAGGTAAGATATAGCTGTTTCTTTGAGCTGTTTTTCTGCTTTTTTCTCTCTCATTTCATGTAAATTCAAAATTTACTCTTTCTGTTGATATGTACTCAACAGAATCATGATTCATAATGCTCCTGTGGATGAATAATGTCCATACTTTGACGTTTTGTTGAATATCTCTCAACGTTGATTCTATTGTTTATAAATATGATTATGAAAGTCAAATTTCACATATACTCTCTCCAAGACTTTTTGTTTCCTTGGTGAACACTTGTTTGCTGGGTTGAGTTATCTTTGTCATTAATCTATCAATTACTCTGATCAGGCATATTCAAAGCCTTTTCTTATAATTCTATCATATCTGTGACCTGTGAAAACTTATTTCATGATCAGTTAAAGTAACAGCAGTTTACTCTCTTGCAGATTCTCAAACAGTCGGCTGTTGATTATACGAAATCGTTTGATCCTTCAACTCACGTAAGAGCTGTTGGCACATAGACATCTGATGTTCCAATTATATCTTTAATCCATCATATCTTCTTCATAATTGTTACTGTATTATGCCTAACACTACTTGGAGAACATTAAAAGAAACGTTTTTGGTTAGTGATTTATTATGGTGATTTTCTGTCAGGATTTTCCGGAGCTAGGAGAGCTGCAACGAGAGTATGGTGTCAAAGCTGATCCTGGACCATCTAGTCACATTTTTGCAGAATACTCCCTTAATAAGCTATTGCATGATCCTGATGTTCCTCGTGGGTGTGATCCGAACTCTCCAGAGTACGTAAACTATGAGCTAGCGGATTCCATTTCTTTCTAACTGCTATTTACATTTGACTCTGATCTATTTGTTGCAAGCTTCCAGTTTTCCGCCAGCATAATCTTCTGTGTTATATCATCATGTGTCAATTTTGAGTTGACTTTATGGATGATCTGAGTCAAAATTTTCTTTTAGGTTTGATGTGCAAGCTGGAGGGAATTTCAAAATTGGATCTGGTGATAGAGATGAGGCCATATCTGGAATATTGAGCAATTTGACGATTGGGGGATTTGGTCCTCGATGGATCCGTCCTTTTCCTCCGAGGTACCCGGTTCATCAGAGTGAGGTAAGACTAAGATTAATCCATTATTTGACTTGTTTAAATTATCCTTACTGACTGAAAATGGTTTAACTTCTTACAGTTGCTTTGGATTGATCCTGATAACAAGCATGAGCTTGTTTGGGATGATAAAATGTGTGCTGATACTAGCAGAGGTGCAACAGTTAGAGACTTGCTTGTTAAGGGTTTAAAGGTGACACTTTCACCTACGGAGCAAGAGGTATATATTGCTATTCAACCCTTGATATGTGCATAAAGTCACGCAAGTAGTATCCTGCTCTTAGGATAACCTGTTATTGCTTATTTTCCTTTAAGACTGATAAGTGAGTTAACATTGCAATGGGACAGTAAGGACAATTTTAAAAGGTTGTAAAGACGGCCTTTGTATGGCAGACATACTTTGGTTTTGTGAGAGAAGTTGTGCTATCCCTTTTTCCCTTTCTCATTGGATTAAAAGATATAGTAGCTCCCAGTAGGATATTAAGAGGGAGCTGATTGCAGTACGAATTTCTGGAAAATAACCATGCGATAGATACAATAGTGATTGTGACGATTTAACTGATCAGCCTTGCCTCCTACAGCTGTGTCAATTTTTATAACCTGGACCTTTTGAGTGATGGAATCAATTTGTTTTATTCATTTGTTGGCCAGGTTATCACTACGGAATTGGCAAATGACCCAAAGCTTGTGTATCACTGTGGGATAACTCCACGGAAGCTGCCGGTATGTGATTTCATTATCTGGCAGTTTTTCTTTTTTCTTTTTCTCTTCTATGATGTGATTTACTTTCTTATTCTCAGCAATTAGTAGAGCACAATCCTCAAATAGCAGTTGAGATTCTCACCAAGTTGATTAACTCCCCAGAGATTGCTGAGTAAGTCATTACCTTATCATTGTTTTTTACATTCTTAAAAAGAAGCACAGAAAAAAAAACGTTAGAAGTGGGAATCTGAGAATGCTTGTGCAGCTATTTTACAGCTCTTGTAAGTATGGACATGAGCCTGCACTCAATGGAAGTTGTGAATAGGCTCACAACTGCAGTTGAGCTTCCCAAGGAATTTATACGCGTTTACATCACTAATTGTATATCATCTTGCGAGAACGCCAAGGTATAAAACCAAAGCTTTCTTTTGTTTTTTTCTTGTGTATTTAAAACAAAGCACTCAATGGAAGTTGTGTATTTAAAACAAAGCTTCTATGCATCATCCTGTAATGATTAAGTTCTTGGCTTTGTTGATTTACAATTTTGTAGAATCCTTTTATTTTGGTTGTTTCTTAAATGGTATAGTGATATATTGTTTTCAACCTGTAGCAGCAAGACAAATACATGCAGAATAGGCTTGTACGGCTTGTTTGCGTTTTCTTACAAAGTTTAATTCGGAACAACATCATCGACGGTATGTATGTTCATCTTTTTTGTTTTGACTGATTGCTATCAAATATCGTGGTATCACATATTCGGGTTTTTGTTAAAAATGGAACAGTGAAGGATCTATTCATAGAAGTTCAAGCTTTCTGCATTGAGTTTTCGCGGATTCGAGAAGCAGCTGGTCTCTTCAGGCTTTTGAAATCATTGGAATGAATAATTAC